GTAGACACTTCTATGTCATCACTCACAACAACGTTTTTAAAATTTCTTTTGATGTAACAAAGTCACGGTTTTTAAGGCAGAATAAAAGAGAAAAATACTTCCATTACCCTTCCTTTACTTTAGAAATTATTAAAGTAAAAACTTGCATTAAAAGCTGGTTTAGGATTTTTGTAATCAGAATGGCTCAACATTTTGCTACTGAGCACAAATTGCAGGTCTCACCTATGAAGAGCTCAATAAAGAGCCCACTAAAACAATAAAAATCTAACATTTGACTAGAGGAAGACACTTCCCATCACTTTCCCAAGAAAGCTGTATGCAAATTTTTGCTAAGCAAATTCTAAAGACACAGACCAGCTAAACTTCAAGAAAGAACTTTAATTCTATAACAATTTCTTTCATGTATATTTGCAATACACTCATCCTAATACCAGACATCGAGGCTATTTTTATACTTCTACCAGCAAGAATGCATATATGGTCCCAATTAAAAAAAGCTGGAAATTTATATTTGTAACACATACCTATGACCTCTATACCATGATCAGTATTAGTCATCAAATCCCAGTACATTAGAAAGTAGTTAACTCTCAATCACAGTAACAGATGCAGCTTTTTTGCATTTAACTGATTTATGTGGATGCGGTGAAAGAAGGATATATATGTGAAGTTCACAGGTATCTTAGGTAACTTTTTCACAAATGGCAACAACTATAAGATATGGACACAGAAATCAGCGTTCTAAATGGTCATTTCAATTTCTCCACGTTTGGATCTCAAAATCCTTTTGAGAAGGCGGCAAATCTCTCCAAAGACTACCTAGAAAATCTAAGGACTTTGAGATAGTCTACACAGGTAAGGCTGTGGGCAGTAAGCATGTAGTAGTAGTAGTTAGCTTTGCGAATTCACATCTGATAGGCTCCCTGCTAGCACACTTAAGCCTGAGCTCAACTTTTGAAGGAGAATTAATTAAATTTGAGAAACTTTGTCTAAGCTGTGTCAAGAGGGGCTTGCTCCACTTTCCATGGAGTAAACTATCTTACGTTTAAATGTACATTGACTGATAACATACTGCATTAATACTGGATAGTTATATACAGTAAACAGAGGTCACAGTTCACTAGCTTTCCCATGCAGGTAATTTCCGTGTATAGCAACATAAAGCTGACTATTTCTGAGGAGAGGACCAGATGTCTCCAACTTGTCTATGTAACTAACATAACATACTTCTGCCTGTCAGCACATGCATACCCCACAGGCACTCCAAAGTACCTATATACTTCAAAGCTTCATAAAGGAACCTACATCCTTTTAAGTAAAGATGAAATTTCAAGTATTGATGCCAGCTTTACAGGAAAATTAAGCCAGCATACTTTTCCACTGTCATCACATATATTTAAATGTTGGCACTTGTAACATTGTCCATGAAAAACTCCTACAATACTTTTAAGATGACTAAGGATTTCACTCTGACAATAAAATTTGTTCAGTGATGACATAGCACAGTGCAATGAGAGCAACACTATATGCAGAGCTCTGCTACTGTACAGGATATCTAAATATAGGTGCTTGTAAGTGGCATGCAGGGAGGAAAGTCTCAGAAGATTCTGCAGAATAATCACCAAGCCTCAGAAAAAAAAAAAATATTACTACTGTGGCAAAACACATCTTTCTTTCATGCAGAGGAGTCTACGAAATTATCCTTTTTACTGATAGAGCCTGTATCTAATGAAAGACTTGGATTTGACAGAGACTCTGAAAATGTGCTTGCTAGATATAACCATCAAATCCAGCACTCTGATTTCTGTGGGAGGTTCCTACCCTCAGACAACTACACCACTGTCACACCAATAACTATGCAACCCTCACAGATGGATTTCCATTTAATTTTCTTTGGAAAGAGGGGGGAATTTACCTGCCATTTTTTAATGATTTGACAACATTGAGATAAGAAATATATAGCTAAGAAGCATATAGAAATGTCATGACTTGGTGTTTCTACTACACCGCTTTTTACTAAGACAGACCTAGGAAGCATCAGAAGCGTTAAGGGAATGCATTTCAGCTGACTACACGGATATAAAATGAGTCTAATCACTGTAGTGCCAACTTGCCTGTCAAGATGGGACTTGTGTGTCAGTGATGCACACTGTCAGACAGTTTAAGATATTATTGCCCTCAGTCCACCATTCTCCTCTGCTACAGGCTATTGCACATGTGGCTAAATTTTCTGCATTTCTATACCATTATACCTAAACCACTATAGCTTACAGTATAACATCTTTGCCAGAAGTCACTGGTAAAAAGCATTATCTGAAACTTCTACTTAGCTTTCCATGCCTTGTGCCATCCTGTATTACTAGCAATGAAGACACCAGGGAAAACGCCATGCAATTTGCACACACTGCAGTCATGGCCAGGTTTCCTAAGTGGCTGGCCTTACTTTTTGCCTTAATCCATTATGCAGCTGATATAAAGTAATTCAAGCTTACTGACTAAAGACAAAAAAAATACAGTAACATACCTGCTAATAAACTGGAATGTAAGACAGACCAAGACTTATACCTCTGAAGAGACAAAACTATCCGCACCATAATGCGACAAGACTTATAACTAGCTGAATAACTGCATTTTTAAAGGACAGTCCACCACATGAACAGCCCCTATACTTGAACTATAGGTTCTGAAACCACCACTACCAAAAAAGCCATCTCTGGTACAAAACTGGAAGGACAGCTGATACACCAGATGGCCGTGTGACCACTCCGAGGAACACCAACAGGCAGGAGAAATGGGCCAACAGGAATCTCATGAATTCCAGCAAAGGGAAATGCCAAGTCTGCTACCAGGGGAAGAATAACCCCATGCACCAGTACAAAAGAAAACAAATATTTTTACTTTAGGGGTGACCAAACACTAGAACAGCTTGTCCAGGCAGGTTGTTGAGACTCTATCCTTGAAAGTATTCAAAACCTGGCTGGACATGGTCTTGAGCAACCTGCTCTAGTTGGCCCTGCTGTGAGATGGGAGCTTGGATTAGATGATCTCCAGAGGTCCCTTCTCAGACCTCCCATCTCTACCATGCTGTGATTATTTATCAGTTTTGCAATGAGAGCACTGATTTGTAATGACAGACCAAATCTATATGACTTATTTGTATCAAGAAAAAAAAGATTTTAAAGAGCATCAAGAGCTGTTGTTTCTTACTTAAGAAGTGCTTGTATTGTACCTATAAACCACATATATAAAAGACAACTGCTTAATGAGTAAAAGAAAAAAAAAACCACAAACCCAAACAACTGATTTTCCTTTTGTAGGAGCTGTATCAAAGCTCCTTATAGAAATAAAGCCTTAAACCCGATGAAAAGGATACATGTTTTGAAGCAATAAATTCATCTGTCATTTATTGATATCAGGTCCCTATTTTAGAATTCTTTCCTCTATCAGAAAATAATCATATAAATTCTAGAAATAAAACCATATTGATGTCACTATTAGATGCAGTGGTCAAAAACTTTTTGACAGTTTAAAATAGACTTTTCAATTATATTCTCTATAGTAGCTAGTTTCATGAAAGAAATCTAAAGGTTTTGGAAAGAGAGGAGTGAGGAGTGTACAAACTGATGCTACAAAGTATTTCAATATTCCAAATAATTTAAAACTCTAATTACATCACCTATGCTTTTAAAAGTCTGATTTGTTGTGCTTCTTCTAACTCAAAAACATTTTTATTTAGTAAGAGACACACCTACTCTGGCCATCTGGTAGCCTGTACATTAACCTTAAATTATCTTGAACAAGACACAATTCCACAACTACTTCACTCCATCTTCCCTTCACCAAAACTATGTTTCCCACTGAAGTTTGTGTTGACAAGAGTCTGAAACAGAACTGGACCTTGAAAAAGTATGATGAGTAGGAGGAACCTAAAAACATTTGGAGGAGGCAGCATGAACAGCAAGAAGACACAAAGCTTGAAATAGGGTCTAGGGTGATCCAGAGGAGACGACCATGGATAACAATAAGGGACTGGGAATCTAGCACGGAGGAAAGGGAGTATTTGGATCAGCGTGGCAAGAGGATACAAGGACTGGCTACAGATGCATCACACTTTCCTGGAAGTCCACACCACCTTTCTCTTTAGTTATCCAGGGGAACCTAGCAATCTCTGCCATCCTGAACAGCAGACAACTTCACTTGAAAATGACCCTGTTTTATGTCAGGCAGCTACTGACCAACTCGCTAGAGAAAAAGGCTGTCCCAGATCTATGTTCGGTGTATGAATTTGAGCACAAATTCTTGAACATTATGAAATAATGAAACTCCTTTAAAAAGAAACTGCTGCATATGTCCAGCAAAGTTTCTAAAGTTCTGCTGAAAATGAAACATTCTTAATAGCC